AAAGCCTCCACCGTGGTCTCACCACCTCCTCTCTCATCGATGGGCTTCACCATGGTGGACCCATCGGGTGTAATCGGCGTAAATCCATTCTTCACAAGATGTTTACCCATTTCCACCTTGTTTACCTTCTCCTGTTTTCACATTTGTTGCGGGGACAACGACTAGGCAATGTCCTTTAGCGACCTTGCTAAATGCTTTATTCAAGAAAGCATCGGTCTTGTTCATCCATTCCATGGTGTAATCACTCGACTTCTCGACCCGTTGTAACGTCCCCGCTTTGCTCGAGGCCGGGCCGCTTACATCGATAGCTTTTCTAGGGACAGGAGGCGCCTCACCAGGATCAACACTAGTCTTTTCTACGACTTTGTCCTCACTCATGCGCCCCGGGAAGAACTTCCGGTCGGTCCATCGCTCCAGGCCAAGCACGCTTAACCTTAGAGTTCTTAAGAGATGGACTTCAAAAAAGAAGTTGCAACTTGTTGGTATGAGTATCCTATTAATCCTATTAAGCCGGAGCCGGGTGTTACATCCTCGCCCTTAGGAGACCGGCGTCCTCGTCGGTCAACCCTGAACGAGAACGTCCCCTCTTGGCCCGTCCGTGTGTCCGGTGCGGCGCATGTGCCATCTTTGGGTGACCACTCTGGGTCCACACCACCATGCGCACCATGCTTCTCATAGCAATGACACATGCACCCGTGAAACCGCAAGAGTCGGCTCCGATACCATTCTGTAACGTCCCGCCTCCTCGAGGCCAGGCCCGCTTACATCTGATAGCATTCCTATGATATAGACTGCCCTCACAGACCAACATCCCGGTCTTTCTCGCACTTTGTCCTCACTCGTGCGCCCACAGGGAAGAACTTCTCCGGTCGGTCCATCGCTCCAGGCCAAGCACGCTTAACCTTGGAGTTCTTAAGAGATGGGCTTCGAGAAAAGAAGTTGCAACTTGTTGGTACGAGTATCCTATTAATCCTATTAAGCCACAGTAGGGGTGTTACACCCGTGTACATTCAGCGGTCATCCATCCTCTAACATATGTATCGTGAGTAATGTAACCATCAATTGCATCTACATGGTGTTCCTACTATCTAATAGGTGAGGATAGGTCCTAATCCATGCGAGATCGTAGATGAGGTTAGTTCCATGCTCTACTCCTATCTGAGATGAGAATTTGGCACCTCCCCATTTGTTCTCTAGATACACGTCACGCCAAAGAAGAGTGTGTATCAGGAGAACAACGAGGGAGGTGATGCGAAACTCTATCTCGGGAGCAGAACATGGAACTAATCCATCTACGCATCAGCATGAGCTAATCAAAAAAGCGTGGACAATCCAAAATAGATACGGTCATAGATATGCAAAGATCGCATACCTCAATCGTATCTCTTTCGAGCAGGAGAGCGCCCTAAGCTGGGTTCTGTGATCTCGACAATGATCTGAAAAGAGAGGTTATACCTAGGGTGGCGGTGAAGTCGGGGCTAAGCGAGGCCGTGGCGGAGTCGGTCAGTGCGATGGCGAGACCGCAGTGCTTGAGCGAGGCAAACGCAGTGGCGAGAACTCCGACTCAACCCGGACAGGCTCTTCTCTACAAAATGGAACAAAATATCATCATTTACAAAAATTTTGCAGAACCTCCCACCTTGCAGTGAGGTTTCAAAAACACCAAAAACAACGGCACGATGGTCGATAAGCACATATGGCTCAATGAAGCCATGTAGTTTGGATATCAATCCATGCAGAAGAATATATCCAAGTAGTACCACTACTTGTACTACTACTTTCACTATTGCTACTACTACCACCATTTGTTCTACTACTACTACCACTATTGCTACAACTACTACCATTAGTTGTACTACTACTACTACCACTACTACTACTACCACTAATTCTACTACTAATACTACACTAGTTGTACTACTACTACCACTAGTACAACTAATACTACTACAACTACCACTACCTCGACAATAATAAGTGAGAAGGCATACAGGCGGCAGGGTAGGGTGGCGTCGAGATCGGAAGTCGAGGATCGGGTCAGGCATGACATGATCGGAAGGCGGGCCAGCGGGGAGAGCGTGGCCAGAGAACACGGCGAGGGCCCAGGGGTAGGCGGCCTTGGAAGAAGGCCGGCAGAGGCCGGGGCACGGTGATCCGGTGGAAGTCTGACGGCAGCGTGGCGGCGTGGGGGGGAAGGGACTGCCGGGGCAGAGGGCGCCGAGGAAACAGCGCGGACGCGATGACGTACGGTGGCTGTGGCGGCGGGCGATGTGGGATGCGGAGGTGGGGCGGCGTGGGTGCGATGCTGGCGGGCTCGCTCTCGCCCCGCCGACCAAAAATGACTAAGTCCCGCCCGCGGCTTTGCAGATCTTGGGATCATGGAAGCACTCGGCAAAAGATTTGGCTGATGCCCCGGAAGCTTTCGGCAAAGATTTGATTTTTAAAAATTCTTTGCCGAGCGCCTCGGATCTGGCTTTCGGCAAATTTTTTAAAAAAATACTTCACGATGTAGAGATGTCCTAATTTATAAGCATCGTGCGTGACAACATGCACGAAATCTTACGAAATTTTTATCATAGCCTCCACATATGATATCCGACATCTCAACAAGTTTCATGATTTTCGGACTTAAATGCGCTTTTATAGAATTTAAAAACACTTCACCGCGCCAATTTTAGCGGACATGTTTACGTGAATAAGATGTCCGAAATTTGAGGTCCGTTCTAGATACGGCCTCTCACAACACTCACTAACATGACTATCAATTTTGAATCATTAAACTCCATTATTCGTACCACGTCTTGGTTCAAATTTCTAATTTTCGGAAAAATTCAAATAAACGAAATAAAGTAACTAAATATATAAAAAGCCACAAAAAATCTCCAAATTGTAACTAGGAGTTCTGGTGCTTTAAAAGGCTGCACAAAAAAATTGGAGGCCAAAAACAACAAAAAAACTTTGCCGAAAAGTCTTAAGGGGCATGGCACTCGACCAAAGGATGTCTTTGCCGAGTGCCGACGGCCATAAGGCACTCGACAAAGAGTATTTTAAATTTTTAAAATTTTCTCTTTGCCGAGTGCATCCACGGGAACACTCATTGAAAGAAATAATAAAAGAAAAATTAAATCGTTGTTGAAGTGCCGTCGGGGCACCTTTCGGCAAGTATTCCCACAAAAAAAATTCTTTGCGGCGCCCGGATCTGAGACGCTTCGGCAAAAAATTAAAAAAATTAAATCTTTACCGAAAAGTGCGGATCACGGGACACTCGGCAAAATTTTAAAAATCAAATCTTGCCGAGTGCCTAACAACAAGCGCTCGGCAAAGGCCGTGACCAAACGCCGTTTCGCGGGCAGCCTATGCCGAGTGTAGAGATTTTACCGAGAGTCTGGCACTCGGCAAAGAAGTCCTTCGTCGAGTGCCCGTCTTTGCCGAGGGCCCGGCACTCAACAAAGAAATCTTTGCCGAGTGCAATTCTTTGCCGAAAGTCGTCGTTATTAAAGAAGGTCTTTGCCGAGTGCCCGATTTTTGACACTCGGCAAAGAATTTTGCACTCAGCAAAGTCTCTGTTTCCAGTAGTGGCGGCAGCACCCACCGGCCGTCCTCCGCCCTCACCATGCCCTTATTCTCGTCCTGCCGCCACGGGCGTGCTTTCATGTGTTTCGTCCGGAGGAAGTCACCGGTAGCCGGGTCCCTGTCGCAGAACCCGAACTCCCGGCACAGCAGCCCTCGTGGCCGTCCGAAGGTGCGAGTGCACCTCCAGTTGTGGAAGCACGTCCAGTCCGGCGTTTCCGGCTTGAGTGCACAAGCGACACCACAATGTCTGAGTGCCGACTCAAAGCCGGCGATGCCACGTCACGCATACCAAATTTCAAGTCGTCTATCAACCCACATATTTACGCCTCGAAGAACGACCTCTCGCCCAGGACGTAGAACACGCCGGGCACCGTCGGCACCATGTCATGCACGTTGACGACGCGCAACACCTTCACGCCCAGCTCCCGCTCCAGCAGCGCCTTGAACCATGTGTCCCCATGGTGGAGAAGGAGAAAGCGCGCTCCGCCGCTTCGGGCGTCTTGATCTGCGTCTCGCTTGCGTTTTCCGTGCTTATCGCCTCTCTTTCCCCGCGCGCATGCCGTGGGCAGCCTAGTAGATGTAGCAGCGTCTGCGGCGGTGGGCTCATTGCAACATGTGCAACGCCAGATCTACTTTTACAACATCTAGATGAAATATTTGCAACATACGTGAAATAATTAAAACGCTTGCAATATACATATGAAACACTTGCAAAATATTAGAAAAACTTGAAACCACATGTGTAGCCATTGCAAACATCTGAGATGAAAACACTTGCAACATACGTGATGAAAACATTTGAAGCACTTGCATATATATACAACATCCAGATCGGATCTAGTTTTTGCAACATCCAAATAAAATATACTTGCAACATACGTCTCAAAGCAGATGAAATGTTTTGAACTCTACACTTAAAACGCGATGCGTTTATAGCCATTCTGAAGCATGTGTAATATCTCAATCTATTTTTGCAACAACGATAAAAACATTTGTAACAAACCTCTAAAACACTTTAAACACTTGAAACATATAGTTGCAACATGTATTTTTTTGGCGCTATATGGAAGCTCATCGCCGCGTGGAGGTCAATGGTGGCAACGCGGTGGGCGGCGCGACAAAGGATGGGGTGGGGAAGAACCACGGGCAGCGGAGCGTGAAGGCTACCGGTGTGCTTCACTGGTGGCGCCCTAGCTTGGTGGCCAGAGGGCGAAGGGGTGAGGCGGCGCGTTGAAACATTCAAGTCCGTCTTCGTGGTCTCTACGTCCAAAAAACATTCAGTCCCGTCCGTTTTGGGCCCTCAAGTCCACATTCGAGCCCCGTTCGTTTGGGCCCCCAAGCCCACTGGATCCTGTTCTCGCCGCCGAGAAGAAGACAGCGCAGTGCTATCCACCCATCAGCGCAACGCTCGTATCCGCAGCGCCGGAATGGCGGCACCCTCCCATGTCCTCCCTTCCTCTCCCCGCCAGCGGGTGCGCCGCCCGCGCCAGCTCCCGCTCCCCACTCTTGCCGCCGCGCTGGCCTCCTGCGCTGCTCGGCCGCGGCCGGCCAGGCGGGCTTCTTCACCCGCCTCGGCCGCCTCATCATCGAGAAGGCCAAAGAGCGACGTCGAGAAGCTCTTCTCCGGCTTCTCCAAGACCCGCGAGAACCTCTCCGTCGTCGACGAGCTCCTCACCTACTGGAACCTCGCCGACACCGACCGTGTCCTCGACGACCTCGAGGAGGTGCCCCTCACCTCTCCCTCCGACTCTCTCCGCTGTCTGCTCCGTCGGTTTGGCTCTGATGGTGTTTTCCTTGCTGATGCACGCCCAGGCGCTGCTGGTCTCGGACTTCGGGCCCAAAATCTCGTTCCGGATCGTCGACACGCTCCGCGAGGAGATCCGCGACGGCAAGCTGAAGTCGGGGGCCGAGATAAAGGTCAATTCGATCGGTCTCTCAGAATTCAAAATGGGTTTCTGTTTTCAGTTTCACTGAACATTTCCGTTAGTTTAGCCGTTTAGAGATTTACATTTTACAGTGTTGATGATCGATGATGGGCAGGCGGCTCTGAAAAAGTGCATCCTGGAACTGCTGACGAGCAAGGGCGGCAACTCAGAGCTCAATCTCGGCTTCAGGTTCTGCTCCCTCCTGCCTGCGAGAATCTTTTTGTTGATTGAGGTTTGCGAGGTCTCATTGCGCTCTGTCGTCATGCCAGGAAGCCGGCGGTCATCATGATCGGGAGTGAATGGAGGTGGAAAGACAACCTCGTTAGGGTACACAGTTTGCTGCATTCAGTTAGATAAACTTTTGTCTGTCCAGCTTAATTAGGCACGGTTTTCAATTGAAAGAGGCCTCTCTCTGTTCCTAACTATGTGGTCGTAGTTCGAGTATCAGTAGATCACATTTGCTTTGGACTGGAGCCACTGCTTAGTTTGGTACTCTGTTCTTTCTATACTTGATTAATTTTGAAAGGACGTTTTCCTTGAATTCAACAATATGATGTTATCAACTGGTACCATAGATTGATCATGCATTCATGCTTTTCATTTGTTATATTTTGCAGGGAAGCTTGCTTACAGGTTTAAGAATGAAGGAGTGAAGGTGAGTCTATTTTCTTGACATCTCCTGTTTTATAGGCTAGTTGAGGTGGGAAAGGGTCCATCTATATGTATTGCTTGATGACGTTGTTGCTACAGTGTATCTATAATGTAGTGCTTACCTCTATTTATTGTTTTGGATCAACCATATTTTCCCACAAGTGAATTAATCAGTTTGCATCTCCTGCTTTGAACCGTAATATAGGTATTGATGGCAGCAGTGATACCTTCAGAGCAGCAGCTCAATGACCAGCTAGAAGTCTGGGCTGAGAGAACTGGTTCAGAGATTGTCATTGACAATGATAAGAAGGCACAGCCTCCAGCAGTCACGACCACATGGTCTGCGAGCATTATGAAAGCACTTTGCTCTCTCATAGGAGCTATGCTCTTATGTTTCATCTAATTTGACTTGTTTGGTAGTTCTTTACAGAGGCAGTAAAGCGCTGGAAGCGTGAAGGGTTTGATGTGGTTCTATGTGTGATACATCAGGAAGTATGGTTGTTGTTACAGACTTTGATTATCATCTGTTTAGATATTTACCTGTTGGGGGCTGAAATTAACTACATTGAGCATCTTTTCAGGACTTCATACAAATTATGGTTTGATGGAAGAGCTGGTTTTCTTGCAAAAAGTCCTAGCTAAAGCGCTTCCTGGTGCTCCTAATGTATGCTGTATTCAATGTATAAATATTTAATTTGATTTATTATTTGCTCATTTTAGTTGGTAATAACTACATATTGTTCAATGGTCTACAGGAGATTTTACTGGTTCTTGATGGAACGACTGGCTTGAACATGTTACAGCAAGCAGAGAGTTCAATGATAATAACTGAACCTGATAATTCAAGTACCAATTTCATCATCCTTCATTCAAGAGGATTATTGGTGTCCTCGATAAAAAGGAAAAAAAAGGAGGATTATTGGTGATTTTTGTACTCTCTTGGCTCTTTTCTAGGTTGTAGGAGTCACTGGATTCATCCTTACAAAGCTTGATGCTTTTCTGGCGTGGTGGCTGTGTGGTAGGCACAGCTTTGTTGCATAAACAAACTGAAAAATGGCCATTGTTACTGTCTCACCTGGATTTTCTTGCTTGGTCTGTTGCAGGTTAGCGTTGTGGATGAGCTTGGAATCCCGGTGAAGTTTATTGGGGTTGGTGAAGGATGGAAGACCTACAACCTTTTGAGCGCCGAGGCATTTGTTGAAGCCATTTTCCCATGAGTTGGGTTTTTGGGAGATAAATCATACTTGTACTGTAAAGCTTTTGACTATGTCGTTGCTTTGGCTCTTCATGTGAGTTATTCTTGCTGTGTCCATTGAAACTACAGTAGTGTAGGAAGCACAAGGCTAGGGTCAAGGCAATTGGAGTCGGAGCTAAGCTGAGACAGAACTTGTTTTTCAGTCTGTAACGAGCTAGGAGCTGAAGTTTTTGTTGGTGGGTTTGTGGACGTGGTTCCTTTGTGTAAGAGGCTGGGAACTGTAAACTTTGAATTGCACCAGGAGGATTCAGAGAAAGAAATGGGAGAATATATTGGATCCTAATTTCTTACTCCTAAGTCCTAATGTAACTGAATTCTTTGATTATCTGCGATCTCACCAGTCACAGATGTGTTAAGCATGGGAGTGATAAGGAGATTCTGCACAACCATAACCAAATCTGTTTCATTTCTGAACTTCAGGTTTCTTCCATGCATCCCTAATTCAGTCTGCGCATGGCAAGAAGATGAGAGAGGCTACGTTAAATAGCATTGAGTAACTAGTGATATGCCCGGCAAGGAATTGAGGACAAGTTTTTGGTGGCAAGGATATGCCGGCATGAAAATGGGGCTAATAGCGATCTCTGCTAGGATCTTTGTGGCATCATTCCAGTAAAGTGAATCAAAGGGTATGCATGTACATACAAATTATCTCAATGGTTATAATCTACATCTGGAGTCATAAACGTCGCTTTTGAGATATCTGGATTGTATTACAGTACTAATCATGACATACACATCTCACAACATGCTTAAACTGCAAAAGGTTGTGCAAATGCATACAGTCCTCATCTCGTTCCAATTTTAGGTTGTTTTTAGTTTTTTCCTCAAGCAATGCAAGAGAGGTTTTAGTTTTTGTTATAATTCAAACTTCTCTTGTTTTGATCAAGTTTATAGAAAAAATATATAAAACATCTACAACATCAAACAAAATTTATTAGACATGCCATAAGATATTTAATTTCATATTTATTTGATAATATTTACGCTAATATATTTTTCTATAAATTAGATCAAAGTTAGTTTAAGTTAGAGAAATACAGGGAGACACTAGTAATATTGTTAAACAATAAAAAGTAATAAATAAAAAAAAAAGACGTTTGCGCGCCACGGGCCGTGCTTGTGGCTGAGTGGGCCAAGACTGCGAGACGCGTCAACGAGAGCAATGGCCTGCTGCCAATATGACTTTTAGAGGTGTACTACACTGTGCATCTACAGTCCCCCCACTATGCTCCTCATTTGCCCTCTGCCGCTGATCGACGCTCTCAAATTCTCCTCCCCGCCGGCGCCCTTCCCTTCCAACAGCAGGGCCCGGATCCTTCTCTCTCCGGCCAGTCAACCTCAAGCGCCGGGAGAGATTTGAGGCTCGTGCTTGGCCCTTCCGGCGGTG